GGCCGGCCCCTTTTTTTTTTTTTTTTTTTGCACACAAAGCATCTGGAAACCCTCCTGTTTTTTAAAAATAGACTTTATTTCTTTAGAACAGTTTGAGATTTACAGAAAGATTGGGAGGATAGTACAGAAAGCTAAAAACTTTTTTAACCACATTATTCTTCATAATACTCCCAGCTTGCAAACTGGAAAGGAATCTTCCTGTTAGGCAGGATTTTACTTTTGCTAAATAATGGAAAACTGTGTACCCATGTCTTTGTCTACTGAATCAAGTTGGTGATTTAGTTGGGCAGATTGAAATAGTAAAGAGGTCATTTGCTACACATCATGGGTGGTTTATTGCCCAAACTAGTAGCAAGGCTGTGACATTGACGGACAAATGCCCACCATCAAGCAGAATAGTTACTGATGGAGTTTGAGTGTAACTGAAACATCATCTTCACCAGGGACTGTGAGTCCACAAACTGATATAAGTTGATTATTGTTGTGTTGTTGCCTTAATTCTGGTCACTTTTGTGAGTTAAGAATCTTGGTTGCAGGTGACAGAAGCCCAACTGGAATGCCTTAAGCCCAAAATGGAGCTGATTGGCTCCTGTCACTGGACAGTCTGTCCTGGCTAAACTATGGCTGATGCCAGGTACTTAGACAAAGCTGTTAGGAATCTGCCTCTTTCCATCTCTCAGCTCTGCTTCCTTCTGTGTTGGTGTCATTCTCAGGCAGGCTTCAGGCTTACGTTATATCAGCTTAGCAATCCCTGAGGGAAAGAAAGCTTCTTTTCTTGATATTGCCAGCAGAAGTGCAGAATTATGTATGGTTGAACCAACCTGGGGTCTCATGCCATCCCTGAGCTGGTCATTGTGACCAGGGCTGTGGGGTACTCTAACTGGCCAAGCCTCGCTCATATGCCCTTCTCTGGAACCAGGGTGGGACCAGCTCCACCCAAACTAGTGGACAGAGAATGAGAGAAAGGGGTGGTTTCCCATGGGAGAATCAGGGTTATTACCTTTTGAAGAAGGTGGGTAATGTATACACAGCAGGCAGACACTCACCTACTCTTGGTATGTTAAACTTTTGGCTAAGGTAGCACTGATAGTTTTAGAACTTGGGTTATAGTATTGCCAGATTGATTTTCTTAAAATAGCATATTCACTGTATCACACATAGTGGGTCTTAGCCACCCACTGTATCACGTCTCTGTTCTTCAAAGTGCTTCAGATTGTTCCCACCCATCTAGGTGGGGAACACAGGAGGTCAGGAACATCCCTGGTAGGCAGACACTTGTTTAAATGGAGACTTAAAAGATGAGTAGTTGTTTCCAGGCAGTAGGGAAGGGAGGATGTTTCAGGCAAAGGAAATGGCATTTGAGAAAGCGTGGGGCGAGGGGAGCAGTGCACATTGACAGGACTCAGGTCAGTTGGTAAGGGAGCGTACATGGGGTGAGGGGCTGGGTAGGAACCAAGAGTAGAGGGATGAGGCGGGAGAAGTCACCAGAGGCCAGATCCCCCTGGGCCTTGTAAATTGTATTTAGGAATTTAGATGTTAGGCTGCGAACAGTGGAGAGCCATTGCAGGTTTATAACCAGAGCAGTGCTGTGGGCTGGCTGAACTTTGCAGAATGGACTGGAGGAGGGCCAGACTGGAGGTGGGCATCCACTTGGGCTGCTGCTGTCTTTTGGGGAGTTGTGGTTGCAGCCTGCTGTTATCCAAGTATATTGCCAGGTGATGGGCCTTCTCTCTCACTCACGGATACGTGCACCTCATGTGCCCACCT